AAAAAGAAAGAAAGAATGAAAGAAAGAAAGGAAAGAAAGAAAGAAAAACACCTACAGATCTGTTTTATTTGGGAACTGTTTTATCATTGTGACAGTGTGTGAATTACTCATATTGTTTTCTTGACGACATTGTTTTACTTTTCTATTTCAGATAAGAAAATCATGTCTCATACTTATTTTTCTAGAGGATGCTATTATTAATTATCTAAAATTTTTATATTCTTGCAAACCTCTGTGTATTACTTATGACAGTTGCAAGAACTAAAGTTATCTTAAATAAAGACGACAAGTCTACGGGAAACAACTCTAAATGCAAACTTCAGAGTTTTATACGATATTGTAATCTCCCATTATAAAATGTTGCCCTACTACGATATATTATGTTCTTCTAGTGATTTTTCTTCTGCTTTTGTTTGTCTCGAGCGTAGACAATGTCGTTTCGGAAACTTTTGCAATGTAAAGTACGTTATATGATCGCAGGATTTTAATATTCTCTGCATAGAGATTCATTTTATACAAATTAAAATAAATTTTCCGAGTAAATGACGTCACGAAAATCGTCTATGCAGCATCGTCTATTTAGCGTTACAGGGAGATAACATTATGCTGATATGGTAACCTGAGAAACAGCTGATTGCCTCCCTTGCTGTTTATATAAATTATTTTCATCAAACAATAGCATGAACTAATAACATTTTGTCGTTTGGTGCTTCCGATATGTAAAAGAACATGTGACATTGGAATGTATACAATTTGTTTACATTCTATTCTGTGAGAGAAATATTTAAGTTGCGTAATCAGAACCATAAAGAAAAGAACATAATTGACCAACAAAATGCAATATGTACAAAATTAAATCTACTTTTCTTTACAGAACCTTTGACAAAGTGTACATACGCCATATTATAGTTACCCGTACAAGATACACGGCACGTGATACTACGCTTAGTAATCACCGTATGCTAATCAAACAAATATGATTGAAGTGGCGGATTGGCCGAGTGGTCAACGCGTCGAACTAGTAATTTAATGATCGCCAGCCGCATGGGGTTCGAACCCCGTCAGGGGCTAGGAGCAAAAAACTTTACACTCATTTTTAAGTGCTGGTTGGTTCCAGGAAAGGATTCGAAAGAGTGTCATTAAGCTTATAGCTTCCAACACAATCGAACTACAAATAAATTCTGTATAAACCAAACAGATACGTTTTAATATTAATCTTATCTAATACAGAAATAATGATGGGTGTGGTATTTTGTTGTGACATTTGAAAACTGAGTAAGATCAATTCGTTTTGTTATTGTCCAACAACATTGACCTGGTACTCTTGCATTTGACCCCGTAGTCGGTATATTTCGTAAACGTTACGATGTACTTGTAAATCTATATGAATGTAAATATCAAATTGTTAAATGTTCTAAGTTAAAACTACCTCTAAGCGCAGTTGGTAAAGGGGTTTCAGTTGAAGGATGTAATCGTAAACTGGTAGGTTCGAATCCAATTTCAGCGATTTCTTTTTTTATTTTAATTTTAAAATTGCCATTCTCTTAGAACTACTGCAAACCTTTTTATCGTGTATACTATCACTGTTGTATTTTGTAATAGCTGCCTTTATAACATGTATGCGCAAAAGCATATACGATTCTATAATGCAGGGTCTAATAGAAAGACCCTGCATAATGCCACAAAGAGAACCGTTGAAAAATATTGTAATGAAATAGAAAAATATAATTGTGTATGGAAACACCACTAAAATGTTTTCTAAAACCAGGTGTAGTAAAACGATTTCAAATTGATTCTTGCAAGTTAAGTAAAAAAATCATAACGTGGTGTTGGTAAGGAATAGAACAGATAGTCCGGCATCTATACCAATACCACATTGCTAACAAGTGAAGTTAGCAATTTATCGATATATTCGATAGATACTGGTCAGTGTTTATTCAAATGACCTTTACGAAAGTTAATGAAGTGCCAGGTCAGTATTATTGGACAATGTATAAAATCTATTTTTTTTCATAAGAAAACAACAAGAACAACAACCCCCCCCCCTGAGAAAAACACCACCAACATTTTAAGCAAAGGTGAACAAGTAACTGTGTAACCGTTACTGCTATTTCAATTTTAATAATAATGACATTTTATCCATAATGGAGTTTTAAATTATTTCTTTATTTTCATCATGTAAGACTTTAAAGGTTTATGATACATATTTCATTTTTCTGTTTCATCAAACATCCTCTTTTACTACAACAGTCGACGTGCGTCTTTAAAGAATTTATGGATAGAGGGAAGTGTTGAATATATTGCTGTATTGGATATTTCCAACGATATAACAGCCACGCCTATAGATTTAAAACAACACTCCCAGATAGGAGATGATGATATGATTTAGCCAATACAAGGATTTGTAACACGTTTATTTCTATCTGGCGACACTGTCACGTTTTAAGATGCAAACTGTATCTGTTAATGAAATACAATGTAGTAAAATTTATCAGATGAAGTCGTTTCTTTTTCTTTTCAATGAAACAAAACTATTACGCCTGATTTTACAATATACACATTCTCATTCCTGTTTCTGTATTGTTCATGCATACTGAAAAAGAATGTTGTTTAATAAATGTACACGTTATATCTAGATTTGGCTTTGGTCGGATTTTAGAGTATAACTGAGCCCATTCAGATACCGTGCATTTGACAAGTAAATCGAAAAGTTTTTTTGTGTTTTATTATTGCACAATTGGGTCAAATTATCTTTTCATCCAGACACACGTATCTATGCAGTTTCTTTTATTCGAAATATAATTGAGGTTTTAATGCAGAAAATAAGTGAAAATTACCATAATATGCATTATCATACAACTTAGTTAGATCATTTCATTTTATCTTTATTTGGTTTAAACAGTATTTATTTCATATAATGCAAACATTTACAATTATTGTACAACAACTAAATATAAAACAGGATTGAAAAGGAAGTCAAAGGCAAATGTAGATGTCTTTCCTGTAAATTGTAAAAGTAAATTAAATTATAATGTAACAACACGTACAAGTACACTAACTTGAAATAATTATATATTTCTTTATCTTTTATTTGAGATTCATTATTGTACAATTCATATCATCAGAACATAAAATTTATACATATACATTGCAAATCGCCTTTCTAAAGTATGAAGGGAAGAGATTACTAAGTAATATGTCTGGACTGCATAATTTCTACACCAAATCTTTAAAATAAAGTTTAGAAATATAACCAGTTTGTATTTCATTTCCATGGCCTCTTGAATCCAATTTTTGTATTTGAAGACTTTGGTCCTACCCACAATATCAGCTGTTAAACATTGCTCTATGCTGATTGGCTAAATTCTGCAATCGATAAAACATCAGTAACTTGTGATCCGGGAATAATTCAGTCTTTTCTGGACGTGGACGGATACGGCGCATACTTGAGAAAAGCTTAAATTTAATAATGTATTTTCTGTGTGTTAAAGTAAGTTTATAATATTTTGGATTATTTTTATAATGATGAATGTGTTGAAAGGTAAGATTTTCTTCTAAATGCTTCATCCAATATGTATACATGCCGCCTAGTATTTTAGACCTAATGACTATTTCTTAAAATGTATAAATTACGTTGTTAATAAAATATTGAGCAGAATTAAAATGTCATTAAAATGCTTTACTGTTTAAAGATACGAATGATAGACAGCTGCAAACAATTAAACACCAAAAATGTAAACAGAAATGATAAATATACTTATATGTATTTATCAATGAATAACTAAAAAATAAATATATATCATTTAATTAATATTTTGAATAAATCAACACATTCATAAGTGAAAATAGAAAAGTAAATTAATTTTCAAAAATACGTTCAATACGAAATATGAAGAAATTCTCTTTATTTTCTTTTGTAAAATGGAATGTTGTCGTCATTTGAGCTTTTCTTTTAAAAAAATAATTCAAAATTAATCTAATGTTTGTTGGATATTAATTTGCCTATTATATTTCTGCGCGGACAGACTGGCGGACGCATTGTTGGCCATGACGACTGGATAACACTTTATCAAAATGTAACCATTCAGTAGACAGTAGACAGGCAATTGTAGGTAGGCAGGTAGTTATAGGAAGTCAGGCAGTTGTAGGCAGGCAGACAGTTGTAGGCAGACAGGCAGTTGCAGGCAGGCAGTTGTAGGCAGGTAGTTGTAGGCAGGTAATTGTAGGCAGGCAATTGTAGGCAGGCAGTTGTAGGCAGGTAGTTTCAGGCAGGTAGTTGTAGGCAGACAATTGTAGGCAGGCAGTTGTAGGCAGGTAGTTGTAGGCAGGCAGTTGTAGACAGGCAGTTGTAGACATGTAGTTGTAGGCAGGCAGTTGTAGGCAGACAGTTGTAGGCAGACAGGCAGTTGCAGGAAGGCAGTTGTAGGCAGGTAGTTGTAGGCAGGTAGTTGTAGGCAGGCAGTAGTAGGCAGGCAGTTGTAGGCAGGTAGTTGTAGGCAGGTAGTTGTAGGCAGGCAGTTGTAGCAGACAGTTGTAGACAGGTAGTTGTAGACAGGCAGTTGTAGGTAGGTAGTTGTAGGCAGGTAGTTGTAGGCAGGTAGTTGTAGGCAGGCAGTTGTAGGCAGGCAGTTGTAGGTAGGCATATGTAGGTAGGCAGTTGTAGGTAGGCAGTTGTCGGCAGGCAGTGGTAGGCAGACAGTTGTATGTAGGCAGGTAGTTGTAGGCAGCCACTTGTAGGAAGGCAGTTGTAGATAGGCTGTTGTCGGCAGGAAGTTGTAGGTAGGCAGGCAGTTGTCGGCAGGCAGTGGTAGGCAGACAGTTGTAGACAGTCAGTTCTTGGGAGAATGTTGTAGGTAGGCAGTTGTAGGCAGGCATTTGTAGGTAGGCATTTGTAGGTAGGCAGTGTAGGTAGGCAGTTGTAGGCAGGCAGTTGTAGGTAGGCAGTTGTAGGCAGGCAGTTGTAGGTAGGCAGTTGTAGGCAGGCATTTGTAGGTAGACATTTATAGGCAGGCATTTGTAGGTAGGCATTTGTAGGTAGGCAGTTGTAGGCAGGCAGTTGTAGGTAGGCAGTTGTAGGCAGGCAGTGGTAGGCAGGCAGTTGTAGATAGGCATATGTAGGTAGGCAGTTGTAGGTAGGCAGTTGTAGACAGGCAGTTGTAGGCAGGCAGTTGTAGATAGGCAGTTGTAGGTAGGCAGTTGTAGGCAGGCAGTTGTAGGCAGGTAGTTGTAGGCAGGCAGTTGTAGACAGGCAGTTGTAGACATGTAGTTGTAGGCAGGCAGTTGTAGGCAGACAGTTGTAGGCAGACAGGCAGTTGCAGGTAGGCAGTTGTAGGCAGGTAGTTGTAGGCAGGTAGTTGTAGGCAGACAGTAGTAGGCAGGCAGTTGTAGGCAGGTAGTTGTAGGCAGGTAGTTGTAGGCAGGCAGTTGTAGCAGACAGTTGTAGACAGGTAGTTGTAGGCAGGCAGTTGTAGGCAGGCAGTTGTAGGCAGGTAGTTGTAGGCAGGTAGTTGTAGGCAGGTAGTTGTAGGCAGGCAGTTGTAGGCAGGCAGTTGTAGGTAGGCATATGTAGGTAGGCAGTTGTAGGTAGGCAGTTGTCGGCAGGCAGTGGTAGGCAGACAGTTGTATGTAGGCAGGTAGTTGTAGGCAGCCAATTGTAGGAAGGCAGTTGTAGATAGGCTGTTGTCGGCAGGAAGTTGTAGGTAGGCAGGCAGTTGTCGGCAGGCAGTGGTAGGCAGACAGTTGTAGACAGGCAGTTCTTGGGAGAATGTTGTAGGTAGGCAGTTGTAGGCAGGCATTTGTAGGTAGGCATTTGTAGGTAGGCAGTGTAGGTAGGCAGTTGTAGGCAGGCAGTTGTAGGTAGGCAGTTGTAGGCAGGCAGTTGTAGGTAGGCAGTTGTAGGCAGGCATTTGTAGGTAGGCAGTTGTAGGTAGGCAATAATGTAGGTAGGCAGTTGTAGGTAGGCAGTTGTAGGCAGGCAGTTGTAGGTAGGCAGTTGTAGGCAGGCAGTGGTAGGCAGGCAGTTGTAGATAGGCATATGTAGGTAGGCAGTTGTAGGTAGGCAGTTGTAGACAGGCAGTTCTAGGCAGGCAGTTGTAGATAGGCAGTTGTAGGTAGGCAGTTGTAGGCAGGCAGTTGTAGGCAGGTAGTTGTAGGCAGGCAGTTGTAGGCAGGCAAGCAGTTGTTGGGAGACTGGCAATTTTTAAAACTAAGACAACTCTATATCATTGTAACATTTACGGAAAATAATAAATGAAAAGATGAACAACAAATTGATAAATCAAATATAAAAAAATATTTAAGAAAAAATAAAAATAACTAATATTTTAAATCCAAATTAATATTCAACGCTTTAAAATTGCAACATTTAGAAAAATATATTTAAGAAAATAAAAAATCCCGAAATTTACAATTTTATCGGAAATTTAATAATTTTTGAATCCCAAGAAAA